TCTGTGTAAGTAGACCCATGCAGTTCAAACCCATGATGCTCAAGGGTCAAGTGTATTTGCCCAGTTTACTACTACAGTTCATTTTATATTAATATATCCTTGTACATTATAAATAAGTATAAATATGCTTTACATCTTTATCATGAAGGAAAATGTTAAATATGCTGTGCGCTTGAGGAACTATGGAAGCCGCACAGCCAATGGAGATGGAGGAATGACCACGGTCCAGTGCCCTGATGGCGTGACGTTCACATTCAGTACATGCAGCTTGAGTAGTAATGGCACAAACCAAACCAGAGGGCAAATTCCCCAGATACTCTACTACAGGTAGGTGTGCATAGAGATCGGGGAGCTAGCTACTCAGCGGCAGCAGAACCTGTGCATTTTACTACCAAAGTCCAAGAAGCCAAATGGGGAGTGATAATTAAATTGCACAGTGTATCTTCCTTGCACATGCTAATTTGTACAAAAAGATCTCATTTTAATGTATAAATTCAGTGTTTATTTTAAAATGTTCTTTGTCATTATTTCCTTAATATCATTGAAATGCCTATGTTCAGGGTATATATGCTTTCTGTTGTCCCTTTTATAGTTTTGTGGTCTGCATTTGTGGCCAGAGTTTAATGGAATTTATTTAAATGCCAAAAGTTAATGAGGAAATCCATTTTGCCAGAGTGCTGTTGTTACCTTGATCCAGCTATCCTTTCTGCAGAATATTTTGGTGTCTGTGAGTCTAGTCCTTGGAGCCCTAGAGTATATAATAACGTATTTCTAATAACATGTTTAACAAAAACCATTCCTTATGTAAACAGTGAAAAGCAGAATTACAATAATTTTGAGTTTAAAAAAACTTTTAAATATACATTTCTCACTGAGTCTACATTTTTCTTTTAACAACTTAGCTGGAACCATAGGTAGTAGTGAGTAGCATTCACCACATTTGTCCTCAGTCTGACTTGACAGCAAATCACTGAAGTTGCCCGTGGGTTTCAGAGGCTTACTGCTTCCTTTTTCCTTCACAAACAATCTGGGGACACTGCCTCAGGACACTGTCCTGAGGATTTGCTTTCTTTCTGTGTAAAATAGAATAGAAATAGTAGGCACCAATAGCTCTATAGTGGCATGTTGCTGCTGAGACACAAAAGCTTTCTAGTCCTTTCACCCTAATGAAAACCCTTTTCTGTTACATAGCCTTACAACAAACAGTACATTTTTCTCTCTCTCAAAGTGTAGACTAGAAACCACATCATGTGTTAAAGGTAAAAAAGATGGAGAGTCCCTTAAAAGCATCTGCTATCCAGAGTTTATATCTTATACAAAATGCAGTGTTTATGTTTTGATATTTTCCACAAAGATTTAAGTATCCTTAGCTTTCATTTTTAATTAAGTTTTAAAAGATTAAAATCACTTAACTATGAAGGCCGTGTTATTCTGATGTCTGCGAAGTCTCCGTCTCTAGCTCCTAGCTCCTCTGAGCCCTGGAGTGAATATCCAGGCCCCTCTGAACTTCATCAGGGTGATGGTGAGGGAGATGGTGATTAGAGGCCCTGTGTCCTGAGCAGTCCCTTTCTGCCACGCGGTGCTCTTGAGTGCTCGCCCTGTGTCAGTTCAGCCAGTCCTTGCTGGAAATCCACGGGGTGTGCAATTTCATATCCCTCTTTTACAGATGAGGGAACTGAGGCCCAGAGTGACTCAGCGGCTTGCTGCAGTCACACTTTCAGTAAGCTATGGTCCTGGGATTTGTAGCCAGGGGACTAGACTGCAGGTGACCTACCTTTAAGCACCGTACCACACACACACATCCTCTCTAAGGCTTGCTAATAGGCATCTTGGTGAAACTCCTCCCCATCCACAGGTCCCCATCCAGTGTTCCTCCCCACCCACAGGTATAGCAGACACCTGGGGGCATTCTTGATGTCCATCTTACCCTCACACTTCACATCAGTAAGTCTTGGCTTAAATCTGACCTTTTCTACCACTCCTATAATTAACATCGAGCCCAAGCCGTCTCCACCCTGACTTGAGTAACAACCTGAATAACTGGATTCAAGAGGAACTAGCCTCTAAACCAGCCTCTGTCTTTTCGCTGAGCTCTCCTACATTCTGTCCTACACCATGCAGCCAGAGTGACCTCGGCGAAATACAAATCCTGTCAAGTTTTGCCCTTGCTCACCTTCCCCTCATAGCTTCCCTTTCTCATTCCAGGATAAAATGTAAAGTCTTTATTCACGTGGTCTGACTCTTGTTTCCCTTACCCACCTGTCACCCTCCATTCTTTCTCCTTTCATTCTAGTCACACTTGTGTTCATTCTGTTCGTTGACCTCACCCATCTTGTTCCTATCTGAACCTTTATCTTACTGTTCTTTTGGCCTGACTGCTTTTCTCCCAGCTCCTCCAGGTCATCTTTTAGAAAACACAGTTCAGGCCTTTGCTTAAGTAGTGGTTCTGTCATGATGTTATTTACTTAAAAAAATAAAATAACTTTAAGCTCTTATTATTTCTTTGAAGCCCTATTATGCCTTGAAACTACATAGTTATACATTTACTATTTTTTAACTTTAACTCTTTAAGCTTGTGATCCAGATGTGATTCCTAGAGTTAGATCCTGTTTTACCCACTGTGTAAAATGACATAATGTGTTACTCATGTTACAGGAGTGAATTTGATGGAGATTTACAATCCCAACTTCTAAGCAAAGCCAATGAAGAAGATAAAAACTGTAGCCGAGCTCTCTCTGTGGTAAGCACTGTTGTTCGAGCTGCGAAAGACCTCTTGCACAGAGCTCTTGCTGTGGATGGTAAGATTTTTCTTTTACTTCCTTAATAGTCCTATTTTAGATTCTTTATTCTCCAACTTATGTGCACAGTTACTAAAGAAGAACTACCTTGTAAAATCCCAGAGTGATCCCTTATAGGTCTGCACATATACATATACTCATTTTGGATCAGCCATGCTGTCCACACACTAATGCAAAATTTGTTAGAATGTTCCAAAGCAGTTACTTTACACTGTAGTTTTCTGAGTTAGCCCATTAAGAGGAAAACTCTTGATTGAGTCTTTGCTTCTTTTAGTAGTTAAAAAAAAAATTTTTGTTTTCCACTTTGGACCTGGTTTTCTTTCTGTAATAGCATCACCATGCATCTAAAGTTCTGGGCAACCCCAAATGTCTTTCCAGATTTACGTACCTAAATTGAGTTTTGCAAGTTCTTCCCCTGGAAACTCTTCAGTTTCTATTCTCTCTTATCTGTTCTCCCATAGTTCAGGCTGCCGTAGTTCAAGCACACATCCTCTTTTTCATGGGTGGATAACATCCTAATAATCTCCCTGCCACCTTTTTCCCACTGCCACACTGCAGCAGAGTTAAATTTACAAAAATCTTACTGTTCACTATAACACTTGTTCCTAAATGTAGTTGCATGTCAAAATCATATGAGAAACTTGCTGAAAATAAAGAGTATTTGGTCTATCCAAACCAGTAGCTTAGGCTGGGCACGGAAACTATATTTTTTACCTCAGTGCCCAGCCTGTTCTGATGCACAGCAAATGTAGAAAAAAATATCTAGAAATAATTGACCCTTAATAGAGAGGTCTTCATAATGTGAACTCAACTTATCTTCCTAGCACCATGCTCATGGAAAAATAAAATGTCCATCAGCAAAGTGCTTTCCTTGGGAAACCTGGAAAGCAATATAGCTAACGACAGCAAACATTTTTGGAGTATTTACTATGTCTGCAGGCATTCTTTAAGCATTTTACAGGTGTTAACTCACTGAATTATCACAACATCTGATGAGGCAAGTATGTTATCCTCCATTACAGATGAGTAAACTGCACACAAAGATTATCTTGTTTGCCTGGTTTCAGACGTGTAGCTATGTATGGCACCAGGAGTACTGCTTTAACATCATGACTGTAACCCTGAGTTTTAATTCTGGTTCTGTCATTTTACAGATGTATGATTTTAGATAAGGTACTTAAACACTAGGCGCCTTGGTTTCCACTTCTAAAAAAGGGGCGATGATAAAGTACCTTATTGTAAGGGTTAATAGAGATAATGTGTGTAGAGCCCTTAGAATAGTGCCAGGTCCTTGATAAGCACTTGGTCAATGTCAACTATAATTTTACTCAAGAAACTAGAATATGGGTTTAGTACAGTTGTGTATATGTTACAGTGGAGTTGCTTTCTAACTGTAGTTTTAATGCCTTTTTCAGCTGATGACATTCCAGAGCTGCTTAGCTCCTCCAGTCTGTTTTCCATGCTGCTTCCCCTTATTATAGCCTACATAGGACCAGTAGCTGCTGCTATTCCTAAGGTGTGTGATTCAGTTCTCTAACTTCAAATCTTTTTTTGTAAATATAATTTTATTTAGACTTTGTGTCTTTCCTTTAAAAATAATCTTTCAGGCATCTGGGTTACAGGTAACAAGTAGATAGACTTGTAAATGGTAGAAGTTATTAGTTAAATAACTAACCCTCTGATCTTAGTATCGCTTACTAGTTTACTTTGTAATAGTATTATTTTGTGATAGTATTACTTTGTAATAGTATTGTTTATTGGCTTTATATTTGAAGAACTTGGAAATAAATATATTTTAGAACATGATATGTAAGGAAAGCTTAAGTTAACTAAGACCTTTAAAATTTATAATATTGATGCCAAATCTCCATTTTGTATAAAAATAGCAATGTAAAAAGGTTGTTAAATTGTGAAATATTCAAGACATGAAAGAAATTATAAACTACTGATCCTTTGGCATAATAAATTTTGCGTAAAACCTAATTTACTGCAGATCACAGAAAGGCAGAAGGGTTTAAAAATATAAACTTGGTTATATTCATGGAACACCTAAGACTTTTAAGCTAAATCTTTTTTCCCCATAGTACAAATTTATCTTTGAGTGAAAACATAACTAGAAGAAACTCTAAATGGAAATTCTTAATAATAAGGATAATCAACAATTACAGTAATTAATAACTTGAAAGCAACTTTAACACTTACTATTTCACTTAATCATTCTTTTTTATACTAGGTGGCTGTAGAAGTCTTTGGACTTGTCCAACAGTTACTTCCTTCAGTTGCCATTCTGAATCAGAAGTATGCACCCCCTGCCTTCAATCCTAATCAGTCAACAGACAGTACCACAGGAAACCAGCCTGAGCAAGGCCTGTCTGCCTGTACGACCTCCAATCACTATGCCGTCATAGAGAGCGAGCACCCCTATAAGCCTGCATGTGTCATGCACTACAAGGTGGGCCCTGGTTCCCAGGAGCAGTTTAAACCTGAAGCTTGATTTGATGTTCTATATTGATGTGTTAAAGGATACTTAGCCTCTGTTCAGACGTGTAACTTCTATGCATAAATATAGAGAATCAGCAGGTGGTTAGACACTGTCAAGCACACAACAGGGTTTAAGGCAGAATTTTCACTGTTGAATAGTATGCTTTCAAGGGGTTTATGAAAGTTACTTTCATATCTTTTTGTAAGTACAAGGCTGTGTGTAATGCTCAACTGTATCTTGTATATCATAATAGTGGATATAAGCGTTAACATTTAAAAATCACTATTTGGGGACATTCCTGGTGGTCCAGTCGTTGAGACCTCACCTTCCAGTGCCGGGTTGCTGGTTCAATACTTGGTCGGGGAGCTAGGATCCCACATGTGTCAGGGTCAAAAAAAAAAGGCATTAAAAAACAGAAAGAATACTGTAACAAATTCAATAAAAACTTTTTAAAAAAATTAATGAAAATCAATATTTTTGGACAGGTATTATTTGTACCACAGCCTGATCTCTGAAAATTTATATACCCGGTGCAGGATTTATAATACTACGTATAATGTTAAAATGTACATATAAAATATTTATAATGTTTTCATAGAGTATTCAAAATCTTATTCCTTGCTTTCTAAATTGTATCATTTAAATTAAGGGGGAGAAAGAGAATCTGTCCACTTAATTTTATTATAAGTTTACGTTTTGGTACTCAGTCACTCAGTCATATCCAAGTCTTTGTGACCCCAAGGACTATAACCTGCCAGGCTCCTCTGCCCATGGAATTTTCCAGGCAAAAACAGTGGAGTGGGTTGCCATTTCCTACTCCAGGGGATCTTCCCAAACCAGGGATTGAACCCACGTCTCTTGCATCTCCTGCATTGACAGGTGTAGTCTTTACCATTTGTAAAATATTCAGCTCTTTGTTGTAGAATATGGTAAACATATGAAAAGATGCACCAGTATAGTTTAGCCCATTTGTGCATCATCCCAGTCACCAGTTATCAACTCTTGGTCAAAACTCTTTTATTTATTCCCCACCCTCTTTGTCCCTTCTCATATTGTATTAAGGGCTTCCCAGGTGGTTCATTGGTAAAATATCTGCCTGCCAATGCAGGAGATGTGGGTTTGATCCGTGGGTCAGGAAGATCCCCTGGAGGAGGAAATGGCAGCCCACTCCAGTATTCTTGCCTGGGAAATCCCGTGTACAGAGGGGCCTGATGGGCTCCAGTCCATTGGGTTAAAAAGAGTCGCACATGATTTAGTGACTAAACAACAACAATACAGTTTTAAAGCATATTCATGGATTTTTTTGTATCTCTAAACATGTAAGGACCTGTAAAAAATAATGTTATTGTCACACTTTAAAAAAACTAATAATTCCTTCATGATGTTTTATATCTACATTTTAAAATATTTGAATTAGAACCAAATGAGATTCATACATTATGATTGGTTGTGTCTCTTAAGTCTCTTTTAATCTATTGTTCCCCCTCCATCTCTCTGTTTTTTGTTTCCTTGAGTTTTATTTAAGAAATTGGACTGAGTGTGTTTTTGATAGACTCCTCCTGAGTCCTTTAGACACACCTCCTGTAGTGTCATTCATAGCATCCTCACTGTCTGGTGTAAGATGTTATAGGCTCTGGTATAAGATGTTATAAGAAGCTTACACATTTCCTGCCTCAAATCTGAAACCTGCCATTTTTTCAAAGTGCCATGGTTCGAACATTTGCCATTTTTCCCATCGGTGTTCATAGAAATTTTTTAAGACCAGACTGGGCTTCCCTGGTGGCTCAGCATTAATCTTCCATCAGTGCAGGTGCCTCAGAAGATGTGGGTTCAGTCCCTGGGTCAGGAAGATCCCTTGCAGAGGGAAATGGCAACCCACTCCAGTGTTCTTGCTGGGAGAATTCCATGGACAGGGAAGCCTGGTGGGCTGCAGTTCATGGGGTCACAAAGAGTCGGATATAACTGAAGTGACTTATTAGCACACACACACAGGATCCTCTCAGGTTCAAACATGCATTTAGTTGTTAGGCCACTTCTGTCTTTTTTAATCTGAAGTAGTTCCTCAGCCTCTCTTCATCTTTTATGATATTGGCATTTTTGAAGAACACAATCAGTGGTTTTGTAAAAAATATTACTTTATTTGGATTTCATTGATTTTTTGTTTGTTTGTTTTGTCCTTTATTTATTTATTTTTTGATATATGTATATATATATATTTTTCGTTTATTTTTATTAGTTGGAGGCTAATTACTTTACAGTATTGTAGTGGGTTTTGTCATACATTGACATGAATCAGCCATGGATTTACATGTATTCCNAAAGAAAAAAAAAGGTAAAAATATATCCAGGAATTTCTCTGGAGCTGTTGCGGTCAGTGTGGGTTCGGTTCCGTTTCAGATAGCTCCTCATCCCAGTTTACACTTCTCGATATCTATAGGCCCCTTCCGGTGTAGTCGGTGTTACCTACAGGGATTTTAATCTGTTGCACCGGTCCCTTCTGAAGCGGTTCCCTTTGTTTATTTGGCTTCTGTTTGCCGGTCTCTTCAGTGCCTACTTTCCGCCCTGACACAGGCGGGCAGAGGTGGTCTCTTGTTCAGGTCGCTAGTTCCGTCGCGCTGCGGGGAGGGGCTGGTGCTGCTTTCCTCTCTACGCTGCTCAGGCTCCCAGCTGCTCTATATGGAACTGCCCTGCCTTGCCTGCGGTTCCAGTTTTCGGGTATTCCACAAAAGCACGGACTTGCTTGCGCCTGCTTTTTGCGCCTTCCCCGGCCCGAGGAGCTCAGGCAGCCAGGAGCTTGACGGGCGCACTCTCCCCGGGTGCGGCGCACCTTCTCCCCTCCGCGGCCTCAGCCTTAGTTTCCGCCCGCGCCGGTTGTGTGCGTGGGCCCTGTGTTTAGCCGCGACCCTCCCAGCGGATGTCGACCATGCAGAATCTCAGGAAGTCTTTGGTTAGAAACTGGAGGCCTGTTTGCAGTGTGGTAAGGGATGCCGTCTTTGGGGCCGAGTTTGTCCCTTTCCCCTCCCCCCTGCCTCCTGCCTCCGGTGGGGCTGGGCCAGTCCGCAGCCTTCGAGCTCTTCTCTGGACTTGCTCGGTCCTTTTGTTCTGCGAACGGCCTGCAGTGTGTTCATGCTGGTTAATTTTCTCTCTCTCTTTTGCTATCTCACAGTTTAAGCTGGAATCTCACAAAAGCTCCCTCTGATTGCCCTCAGGGCACTGAGGCCCGGTCCTTATCCTAAGCAATGCCACTTGCTGCTGGCGGATGCGGGCGTCTGGGGTACTTTTATGCTGGGAGTTGCTTTTAGGCACGTAATCTGTGGGGTTTATTTATTTATTTGTTTATTTTCCTCCCAGTTAGGTTGCCCTCCGAGATTCGAAAACTTCCCCCAGACCGGCTAGTGCTAGGGTTTCCTAGTGATTGGAAACTTCCTCTATTAAGACTCCCTTCCCGGGAAGGGTCTCCGTCCCTAGCTCTTTTGTCTCTCTTTTTATCTTTTTATGTTTCGTCCTACCTCCTTTGGAAGACAATGGGCTGCTTTTCTGGGCGCCTGATATCCTCAGCTAGCGATCAGAAGTTGTTTTGTGAAGTTTGCTCTGCGTTGAATTATTCTTTGGATGAATTTGTAGGGGAGAAAGTGGTCTTGCAGTCCTGTTCCTCCGCCATCTTGCCTCCTCCCCCGTTGATTGTTTTTAGTGATTAAATTCAGGCTGTGCAGTTTGGGTGGCAGCCTGTCCTGTTCTCCTCAGTGTATTCCATCAGGAAGTACTTAGTCACTTGATTAAGGTGACAGTTCCACCAGAAAAAGAAACTTTTTTTTTCCTTTGAAAATGTCAATGGGTAAAAATATCCATGGGTTAGAGACTGTGTTAAAAATACTGTCTTTCAACAAATTTTAGCACCCTTTGGTTATTCTTACCCAAATCATTTATTGGTATGGTGGCTTTCTATTTCTGTTTTTCCTCCCAACTGGTGTTCTGTTGTAAAGGAGAGTTTCCCATCCCTTCTACTTTAAAAAGTGTATTCTTTTATATATTTATTTCATGTGTTTATACCAGTATGTACTCAAAGATTCTCTTTTTGCTCAGTGTTACAATCTTTTATTGTGATTCAGTTTGATGCTCAAATTTCAATTGATTTGATCAGGGGAATTCTGTTCAGACTAGATTCGGTGTCCTTTTTCTGTATTTTCATCAGTTTTTGAGCATTTCTTACTAATTCCAGTCAAAACCGTTGAGGTATTTTCTTCATACCATTTTCGTTTCTGTATGCCACTATAAAAATTAAAAATACTACATAAAATAAACAGTTTCTTTGCAGTGTTTTTGATATTAACCCTACTAACATTAATATAATCAAAATACTTTATTCAAAATTTGTTTGGAGTAGTTCATATTTGTGTGTCGGTGGCTGTATGATGAGTTTAATATAAAGTTAGTCTTGTTTATTTGTACTTAACTTTTATGAGTTTTTCCCCTGCCCCACTTGATTTAATTTTAGTTTTAAACTATGTGAAATACTAATACAGTTAGAGAAATAACATTACATAAAGCAACATACTCATAAGTCCTTTTCCTTCTCTGCTTTTGCCTTACTGCAGTGAGTATCATGGTTTATCCTTGCTGCATTCTTTTTTGGGAAAAAAATCAGAAAGATTGATTTAGATGAAGTCTTATTTTCCTTCTTTGTTTAAAAGAATAGCACACTGTACTTTGCTTTTTAAAAGTAACAGTGTGTGTAAAAGCCTCTCCACATCCATGCACAGAGATCATCCTCATTCCTTTTTACAGCTTCATAGTGCCCCAGTGTTGTCAAGATGTGTCATAGTCTTTCAGTCAGTCTGATGTGTG